CCCCCCTAGGGGGCGCGCCCCACAGTTTGGGAACGTCTGATCTAGTGTATCACACTAAGCTGATATATCTGTGATAATCTCCCAAACATTGGTGTAAATAGGCAAATACTGCTGCTTTGCTGCTTCCAGTGGCACTGAAAGTGCAAAGTGGTGGTGATTTAGAAGGCCTGGTGGTTGTGAAACCTTGTGCTGGATAATTACAAATTGGCATTTCCTCCTCATAATGAGAGGTTGCCTCCCAAGACGATGTCCAGCCTGACTATTGTTTGTGTCTAAATTTTAAAACTTCTCTGTAATTTCATCTCATTACAATCTTTACTGAATGACGGAAACTTTGAATTCGAAGAAAAATGCTCCTGTCCAAACAGTGAAATTGTCCTCAAACAATTTTAAATATGAACTGGTTTATTTACTGCATTTATGTCAAGACATGTTTAGGATTTATTCAAGCTGCGAGAAAGACCAAGACTTTGAGTTGGGAGCGTTTGCACTCTTTTGGAAATCCTTTTGGATTCGATGGTGGTCGACATTTTCCAGAGCGAGCTTACAGGAGCCGTTGTTTTAGCAACAATAGCTGTAAACAGCACAAACCACTACAATGAAGTGGCAAAGTCAGGTTACAATGGAAACTCTTTGATCTTTTTTAAAAAAAATAAAAGGTAAATTATTACAGAACAATTTTACAATTTTACTTTTACTCAAGTGTAAAAGTAAAACACTCCAGACTTGAGAGTGTGCTTTCATTTAATTTTGTTTTTGCCATCTTTAATTATTCAGTTACATTTCCATTCAGATGAACAGACAAGTAATTAATAATTAAAACAAAACTTTCATTTTCCTGGATCCTCCCCAATTAATCTATAATTCAATCAATAAAGAAAAGATGCAAAAACACAAGGAACCAGCTTACATTTTCTCCTTCTTGGTTTGGTTTTAAAATTATTTTACTACAGAGAAACATGCAAAAAAAATCCTCAACAGAAACAAAGTGGTTTTGTTGAGATTAAACTTCGGCAACATGACGACGGTCTGTCTCTTTTTCTTCAGAGACGACCAACAGACGAGTGTTACTTCCTTGAGAGACTTGAGAGCAACAACTACAACACCTACCGCTCCAGGAAGTACCCAAACATGTACGTGGCGCTGAAGAGGACTGGCCAGTACAAGTCCGGGAGCAAAACCGGACCGGGTCAGAAGGCCATTCTCTTTCTACCAATGTCGGCAAAGTGCTAACCGGGTGTCAGACAGAGAGAGAGCAACGTCTTTGGGACGATGTGAAGCCAATGACCGCAGTGTTGGATTGGCTTTGCTTAAAACAGCTGTGACGATCTAACTACTTCCTCTGGAACGTGTGATTAATTCAGCTTTAAATCCAAACGCTACCACATATTTAAATGCATTGCTCCAGGTTTAGTCCACAGAGAGCAGCTATTCAGCAACTAGAGCCAAAAAACAGGAACACTTCCAGACTGTTACATTTTCACATTTAATAGATAAAAATTAGCTTTTAAAGCCGTCTTTTGTCTATGTAACAGAATTTGTTCAAAATCAGAGTCAGCTTAACTGATTTAAATTTGAAAGAAAGTATTAAATTAAATATTTAATACTTTGTATAGTAAATAATGCATTTTATATCAACCACCACAATGTGCTTCAGCAGCAGTAACAAAACCTAATCCTGAGATGGGCTGAAACGATTAATCCGATTAATCGTCATTAATCGATTTTTGAAACAATTGTCAATTAATTCAGTAATCAATTAATGGCACACCAACTCAAAAAAAAGGCCATTTGCTGAAAAAAAACAAAAAACAAACTCAGAGTAGTAATTAAGCCAAAACTCTACAATATATATATATATATATATATATATATATATATATATATATATATATAAAATTGGCATTTAAGATGAAAACACCTTTGTCTGAAAATATTTTTTCCCAAAACTCCTCAAGTGGCATAGTTTTAACTTCACCCAGTTTAAATTCACTAAAGGACTGCCATGTTATTGCTTTTTAGGCAATAAAATTATTATTTTCTTATTTTAAAAATGAATTTAATTAATGTATTTTTAAGAGTATTAATAAAAGGCTTAAATGGTTAAATATATATATTTTTTATTAATTAGTTGATTAATTACTAATCGTTAGCTGCAGCCCTAATCCTGAGTAAGTGAAAACTACAGAATCTGCAGTACCTAAAGAGTCCCGGTTCATACTGGGCATTAAAGCACCAGCTGAGCTCTAGGATTTAGCAGGAAGTTGTCTGTGGTACAGCTGGTATAACATCCCAGAGTAGACGGCCGGCAGCTCTTCCATGGTGAGGTCGATCTTGTCGAAGCCGTGCTCCAGACCGTGCAGCAGCAGCCGGGCGACGCGGGCCGTGATGGGCGTGGTGCTGCTGGTCTCGGCCAGCTCGCTCACACTCAGCCACTCGCAGCGCAGACACTCGTGCGGGCAGAAGTTGATGTCGTAGGTGAGCGGGCTCAGCCGGCAGATGAGGTACATGTCCGACATGTCGAAGGCGCCCGGGTGCCGGTGCTGCTGCCGGATGCTGAGGAGGGACCTGAACTTGGAGCGCACCCCCGTCTCTTCAAACACTTCACGAACAGCAGTGGAACCTGAGCGAGATTTGCTACACGTTTATATCACTGTGCAAAAGTTTTAAACCACCCCATTTCTTTACGCTTTGCTTTCTGCCAGTCAGACATTACTGTTATCTTTAAAAGTGGTCTTGATCACTTTTTCTCCAGGGATTTCAGATCTCTTTATTTTGGAGTTTGGTTGCTTTTTCACTCATTTTTCAGTCCAATCTTCCTACCTCACCATCATGGTGTGACGGAATAATCCTCCCAACTGAGGCTTTTACCCCTTAAAAAAGGTTAAAAAATAACATTTGGATATTTCATGCTGCATGTATTCAAACTGCAGCTTAATAATAAAATCTCTGAAATCGAATTCCAATTTTAAGTGATTTTTCTCCCTTAATTTTCCTTAAAAAAAAGATAAAATACAGAAAATGTTATAAAAATGGCTTTTATTTAAATAATTTCAATAATTTTATCTAAAGCAATCTTATTTTGTGGCTGGAATCTTTGAACTCAAAGTTGAAATAAAGCTGTTTTTTTCCAAATAACTATTATTCACTTTTCTCCACTTACAGTTTCACTAAATTATGTGAAAAAGTAGAATAGGTGACCCTCAGCTGAAGTTGACATATGACTTGTAGCTCAGAACCTGCAGCTGAAACTAAGTGAACTGTCAGAGATCAAGTTTTGAATCATGTTTTTCAGACTGAATTGGCCAGGAACTAAAGTCAGGACGGCCTGTTAGGAGCTTTCTGGGTTAATGGTTGGTGAACTGCATTTCCTGTGTCACAAAGCCAAGGATCGCCACTGAGGCAAATGTAAATTAATAACTATTCCTAAAAATCTCCAAAATATCAATTTACTCTAATTCAGACCTGGTATTTATGATTGAGGACTCCAAGTGCCATAAACTTCAATAGGTTCAATGGTAACGAACAACTAACAGAAAAAGGCTGTTCTTCATTTTGGTCTCCGTTAGAGTTGATGTAAAATAAATGTTTCTTTGAGACCCTCGCTACCAATGAAGGAGATTCACTGTTTTGGATTATTTTTGAAAAGAGCATCACCTTTGAATTTTCCACCATTTAGAGCTCAATCATATATTTCTTTTCTTCTGTTTATCTATTTATTGGGATCTTTCTATTATTACTTTTATTTAAAAAAAAAAAAAAAACTGATCAAATTGGTTAAACATTCTGTCTCCTGACAATAAATGATTGGGTCCTGTCATCAATGGCTGTTGAGGAACAAATATTCAGCGGTCGCCTCTCTCTTCTTCAGCTGATGTTTCAGGAGTAGCACGTTGTGTCGGTCTGCTATTTAAGGCGGTTCAAGTCCACTGAACATGTTTATTGACTTCTGCTTACCCCTGAGTGAAAAAGCAACCAGGGTCCAAAGAAACAAGTATAAATTATTAACCTGGATCTCTTTCAGTGATTCCAGGTAATTTGATCTGCTTGGAAGCAACATATATAGAAATGAGGGTTGAGTTAAGAACTGTAATGGGGACATTTAAAGAATCCTGACATTTATAAATATGTTTATACTGCTAGGAAGAAAAATAAAAGAGACATATATTTAGATTTTATTATTTTTTTGGTTGACGCTGCTTTACGTGTGGAATCATGTAAATACTTTTAACGCTGCTTTTAAAATGTTCCAGTGGGAGAAACAAGATATATCATGTGTCTTATTTTGTACAGATAAATGAATGTATATGTTATACTTTAATGGATTTAGTTAAATTTTCCGTTGTAATTTTTTTTTTTTTTTTTCTGCTGAGTGAGACGCTCACCGATATTCTCTCCTGGATCGGATAAGCCGCCAGGAAACTTCCAGGCGTTCTTGGTCTGGAATCAAAGAAGAAATCTGACATTTTACAGGAGTCGTGACAAAACGCCGCTGCTGGAAATGAATCACAGACAGAAACCATCATAAACATAGAATCACCTGCTTCTCTCCATAAATACTCCTCATGTATTTTGCAGTTCACATCAGCGCAGATAAACACACCGGAAGGGGAAAGGTTCTTTAACTGCGCTCTGATGAAGCGCAGTTAAAGCGACTCTGATGAAGCTGCTTCACCACACTCTGATATTTAATAACAGTATGCTGCTGGTTAAATTATGACGTCTAAGTGTATTTTTGTAGTTACATCTTTGTTTTTTGTGAGGAGCACTAAAGCACCGCAGCTTTTGTTTTCATGTAAAGCTGGTAACAGGCATTGTGTTATCAGAAATAAAGAGATTCTGTACTGCTTGACTGAATGTTTGTGTCCGAGCTTGATTGCTGTCACGCATCCAACACCAAATCCACCAGGAAATCATTGGTAAATTACACAACAGTAACCTTTACATAATTCAGGAATTGATCGGTCATTGTTTGCGCCGATGGAACAGCTATGACGTCTCAGTTTCTTTCCAGTAAGTCCACAACTCTTGATGAACTCATTCAGCCTCCTGGGAGCTTTCTACTGCCAAAGGACCTGGATTAAATATCTCATTTCCAGGAATCGCGGCTCAGTGAGGAGCAGAAGAGATAAAAGAGTTGAGTCACTTTTCCACCTCTAGGTTCATCCTTAAACTGTAGTTAAATACGTCTGCAGTCAGACATCATCAACATTAATGTTCTGTTTTTAGAAGCAGTAGAAACCCAAATGGAAGTATAAAAATGTACAAAAAGTGAATTTTGCACAATAGCTCCCCTTTAAAGGGACAGGTACAAAAACTCAAAGTTCAGTTCAGACAGAAGGTAGCAAGCAGAGATCCATAAATGCACAAAGAGAGGCAAATGATGATTATGGTTTTCACAATAAAGCTCTCTGCTTCTAGTGGATCCCATGGATTAAAATCTGATCAATGTTATGGGCTCTACTAAATCTAACTGCTTCGGTTCTATGTCTCATAAACTTTATAGACTAATTTCTCTGAAATTACACAACTTAAGAACTGCATTTTGCAATAATTTCTCCATGTTGGAGGATACCTTATCTATAAGACAGGAAATGCACTCATAGCTTTGCAGGAATAATTTTGAAAGAGTTCCACTGAAACTGAAGGTGAGAAGCAGTGGGAGCTGTGGACTGAGGACCTAAGAGAGAGCTCAATGTGCAGCACACATTCAGCTCATGTAAACAGGCTGTTTGCTTCTTGGAGCAAAGTGAGATTTTGAAGGAGCCTAATGTCTGGGAGGACATCCAACCCCAGCCTGGATAAACACAACCAACACAGGTCAATAAATAAACAGGTATAATCATCTGCATTTTTAGCAACGACAGGATATCTGTGATTTTCTGGCTCATTTTTCTTACTAATTACCTCAAGGCCTGAATCGTTGTCCTGGTGAAACTTGCAAAGACATTAATGCTAGTCTGTGCTGCTGGACTTCTAGTTTCATATTAGAAACATATTATTTAGTTAGAATCCATGTAGTTGTGTTCTAGTGATTTTTAATAGTTGCAGATGATATTTCGATCAATATTTCAGAGGTTGGAATCGGCAGATCAGATACTGAAAAATATGACTTTTTTTCTTCTTTTATGAATTGCATCAAACTCAAAACTCAGACCATTTTCAGTCTATTTTCAGTTGGATTCAAGACTCTTGTCTCTTTCAAATAAACTGAAGCATGTTTTTCTCTTTCTATGTTCAAGTCCTGTCAAAAAGTCAGCCAGAAAAAACAGGTTGGTGCATCTCAACATAACTTTAAAAGCCTGAACTGCATTTTTAGAGCATTTTAAAAAGATAAAAGCTTGACTGACTGCTTTTAGACACTCCTGTAAAAAGGTTTAATCTATCAGGGGATTTACCTTATTTTTGTCCTGGACAACCAGAACTTTCCCAGTGGACTCATCAAGGACCGCACCTATGAGACAGAAATGAGTATAATCACTTGTTAATTTTAAACATGGTAAGAACACTTGGCTCTGCTGCGAAGTAAGAAAGTAGCTTCTGTGAGAAAATATTTACTGGAAGGTTTTTGGGAGATCTTATCAAAGAGAGTTGAGTTCCTGCAAAGTCAACAACCTTCCAGCAGTTTGAGTTTCAGTCACACCAGACCAGATCATTTCAGTTCAGTTCAGGAATCCCTCCAACTCCACCATCAAGTGATGATTAGTATTTCTAATATTGTTTAAAAAATCCTTAAGTGATTAAATATCAATAGAAAATTTATTACTAAAATAATCATTAGCTGCAGCCCAGGTGAAGATACATGTTCATCACCACCAAAGGATGAAAAAATAAACCAAATGCCTAAAGGTTGCATTTCTATGCTCTGTTTTACATCCGTTTCTGCATAGCTGCATCCGTTCACAACCACCAGCTTTGATTCTGTTTCACTCTAGTTTCACTCTAGTTTCATTAAATCCATCCATCAATCCGTCAAACAATCAATCAAACACTAACTGGGAAGCAAATTATTATTTTAATAAGATAATTTTTGTTTTCTGGTCCTGAAGCTGAAGGAAAGACAGTAAGGGAGGAAACCTCATCTCTTTTCTTCAACAGTCACCTATTCTATTAATCAACTAAGAAACCCAGCTAGCTTCAAACCTACAAAACACCGAAGCAACTCCAGAGACAGAAGTTGCAATACTAATACACACAGACATGTAATTTGTGAAAAATACTGGAAAAACATCTTAATATTTTCGGAGCCAAAAAGACTGAGTGACTCAACTACTGAGACTGATGTCAATGTCTAAAATTTAATGTTTAACATTTTTTGTCCTCCCTGAGAAGGTTTTTGTTTTCCTTGCAGGTTATGACTAAGAGAAGCAGCAATGTGCTGCTGATGACAGAATAAAGGAGGCAGAGGAGGAGGAAGGAAAACGAGCCACTGTGTTTTCCGGTGACTCCGTCTGACTGCGCAGGACGGGCTGCGCTGAATGAATGTCACACATGTGTAAAGATGGATGGGCTGTCCTAAAAGCTCGACTTGGACTTGGACGTGGAAATTGATGTCATCCTCGGTTCTTGTGCCATATGATGCAGGAGGAGGCCTGTTCAGGGAGGCTATCATTAGTAGACCTCAAGCCCTGAGGCAGGAATGAAAACAAGAATCACAACATGCAAATCTTTGTATTTTGGGTTCTTTAGTGTTTCATATTTAAATGGCACTTTTGTTTTGTTGGAAACAATTTTTTCCAACAGAATTTTGTTCCAGTTTTTGGCAACAAAATGGGGATTTTTGTTCGAAGAGGATGCTCTGGACATGTTCTGACATGCTACCCTTTAGTAAAGACAATAAAGTCACTCTGCCCTCTGCTGGACGATCATAAAACTGCCAACCATAAATTACATGAATTATTTCATAAAGCTGAAATTACATAATAAAAACACAATGGATTAAAAAATAAAAACAAATCCAAATATTTGCTTTTGCTTTGGCGTGGGACTTCCTAACCTACATTATTTTAGAAAGGAAGGAGTATTGGTTAATTTTCTCACTATAAAAAAAGAGTTCTGGGGTCTAAATCCCTACCTGCCACTCCAACCTGATGAGTAGCAAACCCCGGCAGCCTGCTTTCTCCTTCTCCCAGCCACAGAGCCAGCATGCTGTGGTCGCTTTTGGCGTGATGGAAAGTGAAGCCGTGAGTCGCCGCTGCAGCGGCGCATCGACTCAGTGAGATGGGAACTTGTAGCCACACCGCCATCTTCCCGTCAGCTTTCCACTGGACCAGAGAGTCTGGAGAGTTCAGATATCAGGGATTACCAAGAATCCACATCTCAAACTGAGCTTTTACTACCAGCAACGCCTTGTCAAACATTCACAGCCTTCTTTATTGTAAACTTCCGTTTAGTTATTTTAACACCAGTGATAAGGGGTAGGAAATCATGATAACAATTTATCATAATATTTTGTGGAACTAATGTGATGAGGTAAAATTATGATGAAAAACTATTGTATCTAACGGCATGGCTCTAAAAGCATGGCACTGCAAGCAAATCAGGTGGATTAGCAGTACTTGAGAAGAAGTGGTGTGATGTTACTGTGGAATATTGTCTCTGCTGTCCAGATGTTGAGCTGTTAGCATGACAGAGCAGCCATTACAAAATCATATAGCAGCTGTCTTCAAGCAGAGGCTTCTTCAGATTTGTTGCGAGACTGATTGCTACCGGTGATCCATCCTGTTCACAGCATAACCATCCACAATGACTCTTTGAAGGTACTTGGATGACATTGGTTATAAAATTTAATTTCCCTTTTGGATAAATAAAGTCTTTTTGAATTTAACTTCTTTTTTTTTACACTTTGTAACCTGCTGTGGTTTTAGTGATGTTTTATGTTCATTAATGTTCTCTGACAGAAATCTGAGGAAAAACATTCACAGAAACGTTGCAGTAGTGAGATTAGATTTCACATAGTTGGACTTTATTTACTACTTATTGACTATTAAAAGTGAGCAACTGTTTTCCCAGTTGGTATTTTTCAGAGGAGCTGAATCAGATGTGAAGCTGGTTCTTTGATTAGATTTTGCTGAAATAAACTGAACTGACTTTAGTTAAGGTTAGAAGTAAACTGGAAATAGATTTTTTTTGCTGTAGAGTTGATGCTATATTTCAAGAATTTAATTAAAGTGACTGTTTTTAAGAACCGATTTTTAGGACACCGTGTTCCCAGTGTCACTCATACCTTTGCGTGCAAACATTTGCAGTGATAAACATCTATTAACATTATGATTAAAACATGGAACCTGTCTTTTGCGTGTCTTATATGGGTCTCAGCTCATTCATGGATGTGCCATTTCAATTATATTTGAGTTAATTTTGTCGTTGGAGATGACTCCAGGAAAACAAACCTTTCAGCAATCTGCTGAATGCATCTTCGCTTATGTCCACCGGCAGTCCGACCTCAGCTAGATTCACTGTCACACCACCGAACCGGTCCACTTTGCCTGTCAAACCGCCGGGTCCCTCCACTTTGTGGAGCTGAGAGCAGGTGACAGCGCATGAAATCGCCCGAACTTTGCAGCCGAACCGGCCTCTGAGTAGAGGGGACAGTCTGGATAGGATGGCATAGGTGGTCATGCTGCAGAAAATCTAAAAGAAGGAGTGTTTAGAAACTAAATGTCTTCACTTCAACACCGGCATGTTAGCATCATATTCAGTACAGTTGCATAAAGTCCAAACTAGATATTGCATAAAAACCATAATGATCAGTTTAAATGTGCATGGGGAAGCTAGGTAAACTTCACATCCTTGTAGCACAACTCTTATCATAATGTCAGTTATCGTTATTTTGCCTATAAAATTGGCTGTTAAATATTCTTGACGTAATATTTTACAATTCGGCTTTTAAATATACGAACTATCCTAAAGCAATGTTATAAATGTCTACAGATAGCGCTTCGGACTAAGTACTGTAGCAAAACAGGCTAACCAAAAATTCTAAATAACTGTTTTGAAGTACAGGAAATAAAGATTTATGTGATCTGAGGGTCATCCCGAATATAAGGCTGTAGATTAAAGGTGCTTTAAATACCATTAGCATATCTTATTTTAGTTTCTAAAAAGTCGATTTCGAAGACTATCTAAAATAATAATGCTAATTCAATGGAGTTTTGGACATTTCTTTTTTGAGTTGGAGCCACTCCACTTGCTAATATTTGTATGAAGTTGTTATTTAAATAAAAACAAAACACATTAATAAGAAATTACTCTTAGTTAATCTATTTTTGTTTAACTGGATTGGATTTGTACACACAGAAATAACCACACAGCTACAGCAAAAAGTTGGCCCATTACTTCAGTGTTCTTACGGTAAAAAGAGGCGGGACTAACCTTTAACCAGGAAGTTGATGTCTCCGCTCCATGTTTACACATGTCGCCAGATTCACGTGGAGCATATTTCTACTGTAATTATGTCTTCCAAGAAGAATAAGAGCAAATCAAAAAGAACGAGTGAGGGAGATAATTCACTGCTTAAGAAGGATGAGTCCTGCAGCCTGCAAATATCTGGACTTGATGGAGGAAGCTGCAGAAGTCCCGACTGCAACTCTTTCTCTGTTATGGATTTCATTGAAAAAGGTGGGAATTTGGACCAGGCGTCTGACCTGTAACAGCTAAAGCAAACTGTTGAGAAAATGGAGGTATTTGTAGAGTGAGGATGCAGTTGATCTGATGCTGAAAGACGCTCCTCCTGCTGGACCCGTGGAAGAATATATTTTATTTCACGAAAAATAGCACAGATAACACACTAATAACATAACAAGCTTTGACATGATTTTTTAGCATACAGATGTAATGGCGTTTACAGCCATTGTGAAGACTGCAGAGCAAAGTGTTGTCTTGTGTTTGATAAACCATAAAGTCATTGATAAAGAAGTTGGCTATTCAGAGTGTGTTCAAGCATATTTAGGGAAAGTTAAGTGGGAGGAAAAATGTGGTGTAAAAAGTGTTCAAGTATCAGAGATGTCTGCTGCAGTAAGAGAATTGTAAAGGAAAGTATTTTTTCTGACAATCTTGACTTTTACTTTTATTTATATTAAATGATTTTAATATATTAGATTCAGCTCTAAAATTTGATCTGTATTAGTCTCTACAGGCTGCTAGTAAAAAACTGATTGTATACGTATTTAGTAGTTTCCTCTTTAATGCAAACACTCAACTTTTTCCTCTTTTTCCCCTTTTAGCTGATGATAAAACCCCTAAAAGCTGCAGACAGACTTTAGCCCAGCTGAGCCTCAGTTCTATGAAGTCGGCCGGCGTTTGTATCGGGAGACCGGTCCTGTTGACGAGTCCATCGGGACAACAAGAGGTAACCTCTATATTTTTAAATGAGTCATAAATAGTTTAGGAAAACTTCTGAGAAAAACTGTACTTTACTTTATGTTAATGTCCTCTAGCTCAAAGTGTTAAAATTGCAGGTAAAATATTGAAAACCCTCCAGTTTTGTTTCTGTATTTCTTTTTCTTTAAGCTGGTTTCTGATTAAATGAAGGAAAGGCATTCTGTTACTTTTGACTTAATTTAAGAACTGATTATTTTGGTTTTGTAACTGTAGAAGATAACTTGCTGCATCATATTTGCTACTATGCTGTAGAAACTTGAATATTCACTTGAATAAATGATGTAATTTGACTCTCTGGACATTCTGTTCAGCTTTGAAACCTTCTAAGCATCATTGATCCTGTTTTCTGCTGTTCAGGTGTGTTTGGGTTGGCCTGTTGCATCGTTTCCAGGTGGAAAAGTTGGCCTTCAGAAATGCGCTCTGACCAATCTGAGGGTTAAGCCAGGGGAGGCGGTGATGCTGCATCCGGTAACGGGTCCTGTGGTCCAGATTGAGGAGTTGGTTCTCTCTAATCGGTAATTTTTCACAACACAGTCACAGAAAGCAGAAGGTCTACTTGTTTTTTTTTTTTTTTGTCGGGTTCTTTAACTGAAGCCTTTAGTGTGTGAGGTTTCCTTTTTTTTCGTTTTTTTTTTTAGGATTGGGGATGTCAGCTGTGCTGATGTTAGGTTAGGGTTAGGGTATTTATAAATTGTTACGTGACTGATTTAAGATTTTATTGTGAATAATCATCATATTTGTAAACTAGGCTTTATTTGGCCACATTTGTGAAATGGAGCTTTAAGTCTTCCAAAATAAACGAATAAAGTAGTTAAAATATTTAGGATCATATTTTCCATTTTCCTGATAACTGAATCTTATGCACAAAGGCAGAAAAACTTTAGTCATCTTCAGTTTTTTGTTGAGTAAATGCTGCCATCTGCTGGTAAGAACATATAACTGCACTTTTAATTTAAATTGGTACTTTTAAATATTTCTTTCAGTCCATTTAACATTATGCCAGTCATATTATTTTTATAGAATCTACTGACCTGAATGACAAAGTGAAATAATGATTTCTAAAATAAAGCTCCTCCCTGAGGTGAGGGACTCCATGTTTCATTGAAAATACTGTGCACAAATAATGACACAAAGAAGGAAGTAAGTCTAAACTTGGAATGTGCCATTTTTATAAAAAGTCAGTTTTACTCTCAAGCAAGAAAAATAAAAGTTGTTTAGATCTGCAAATGTTACACAATTCTTAATCTTTTAGATTAACATCTGCTATAAATAATTTGTTTTCATTTTTAAAGAACTACAGTTTTATTTGTATTTCTAAATAATGATAAACCTGACATTTAGCAATATGAGGATGGGTTTTTTTTCTGTTGAATGGAAATGGTGTAAAAAAGAAAATATTCCAAATGAAAAACAGATCTAAAAACATATCTTTTAATCTAAGTCATTAAGCGTCATTGTGGAAGGTCCAATACTTGGATCCTGGTCTAAACTATGAGTGATTTCCTTCTAATTAATAGTGATATATTAACTTTTAATGTATAACTAATGTGGTTTATTGTGATTTAAATATTTTATTTAGGTCAAAAGATGACAAACTTGATGCAGATGAATTCAAGAACTTCTTAGTGAGGACTTTAGGTGAGTTCCTGTCGACAGTATGACATGATTTGGTCTCAGTGTGTTGCCTTGTGTAGATTTTTTTTCTCTGTTGGAATAACTTTATTTGTCCTCCACCAGCTGGGAGCATCATCTTGCCGGGGAGCGTTGTCTCTTTGAGTTATTTTGGCCGCGCCTGCAGCCTTCGGGTTGAGACCATAAGAGGAGAAGATGGCGTCACCGTGCAGAGAGCCCATCCTCCTCTGGGAGCGGCTCCCGAAACAGAAGAGACATCTGTGATGAACTCTACATCAGCTGACCTCTCCTTGCAGCTCAGCATGCTCACTGTAGATGATGACATGGCACCAGGCACAGCTGGAGAGCCAGGTCCTGCAGCTAGTACCCCGCTCCGCGCCGCTCCTCTGTCCTCACTCTCATCGCCTGCAGCTCCCCTCACTCCTTCCTCCACCTCTGAGCCTGCAGACAACAGCTTCATTAGCTCAGAGCAGCCTGAAAATGCACCAACAGCACCCCCTGGTGGTTTTAGTAGCAGCGACACGTTCTACTCTGTCACGTCTTTCACCAAAGTCCAGTTTAGCAGTAAAAGAGGGCAGAAAGACCTGAATGAAGAAGCCTCCAAGTCAAAGGTCACGTACAGCATGATCGGTGGTCTGAGCAGCCAGCTGGATGCCATCAGAGAAACCATCGAGCTTCCTCTGAAGCGACCCGAACTGTTTTCCAACTACGGCATCTCTCCTCCCCGAGGCGTTCTCCTGTATGGACCACCAGGCACGGGGAAAACTATGATTGCCCGAGCCATAGCTAATGAGTTAGGTGCGCACATGGTGGTGATCAACGGCCCAGAGGTCATCAGCAAGTATGGATTCTTCTCTGCATCGACCGTTTGGGATTTATTCAGAAAAGATGAATTCACCTGAACAGTTCTTTTCTCAGTTTAGAAAGTAAACCACTGCAACGGTTTTTCAAATTTGGATACTTGAATTTACATACAGCCCCACTGGCAGTAGTTCAAATGTCTCCTAGCAATTTGCAGAGGAAACAGTTTTAATAGTCATCAACAAGCTATATACATTTTTCTAGTGAAATTTTGTATATGTATTTTAAATTACTTCGTCAGTCCTCCAGGATTTCACAATTATTTTTATGATTTTTTTCCATCAAATTCAATGATTTTTGTGGTGCTACTTTAGAAATACTTGGAAGAAATTTTGTTATATTTACCTATTTAAACCTCTTCCAAAACCTGCGTATAGAAGTAAGCAGATGAGAAAAACAGATTCGACACAAACACTTTTATTCTTTAAGGTATTTAAACAGCTTGGTTTTGATTACAGACTATAACTTGACATAAAGTAAGGCTGAATGCAGTAAAAGTAAGAAATTCTGCCACCAGTTAACTCTCTGCAGGAGAGAGTTAACAGTCAATTAATATCAATTGTTTTGATAATTTCCATGGGAAATCTGCAATAAACTCATAATTATGCATTACCATGAAAAAATGCGGGAATCTCTTCACTTTGCATGAATTTCTATGCTTGCAGAATCGCAAGCAACTGGAGGCACTGCCTCTTTTACTGCCATGGAGGTGGCAGGCTTCAGCACACATTTATTGTTTTTAAAAGTCTTTCCAGTTGAGTCTAAAACTGATTCCAAACTGTGAAAAGAACTGTTCAATTAATGATTCAAATTAATATGAATTTATTGGGAATAGTGAGTAGATGTAAATGTTTTATTTGAATCTTTTCAGATTCTATGGTGAAACAGAAGCGAGGTTAAGACAAATATTCACGGAGGCGTCTCAGAGGTAAATCCAACCAGTTCACTGTGAAATCTGTAAAACATTAAATGGCTCCAAGCAAAAAGAATCATCATCCCTACTGTTCAGACTGTATTCTTGGTAAATACCCATCCTTCCTCTGACAGGCAGCCTGCGATCATTTTCATAGACGAGCTGGATGCTTTGTGCCCGAAGCGAGAAGGAGCTCAGAACGAGGTGGAGAAGCGAGTCGTCGCTTCTCTCCTGACTCTGATGGACGGCATCGGATCGGTAGGTCATCTCAAATCAGGTGACTCTCAACAGAACTCCAGCTCTCAGGACTTACAGGTGTAAAAAGTGAGAGTTCGGTTAAATACAACCTGCTATAAACCTCGTGCAGCTGGGGTCCTGAAAGCTGATTATGAAGGATTTCATCAGAAGGTTTGGTTCCAAGTTGCACAGCATTCTTGGCACTAATAAGTAGGAGTGGAAGGGGGCATTTTTCAATGAGAAGCTTTTAGAGATATGAACACATTAAAGAAAAACTGTGTTTATTGAGAAATAAAAAAAGTATATGTATTTATATCTGAGCTGGTTGCCTTGGAAAAAATGAAGGTTTTGTTGTCTGGTGAACCTTTTCTTGATACTTGTTGCCACTCTTGAAATATCCTGAAAGACTCAATAATGACCAATTCTCAGCTTTCTTGTAGAGACCACCTGATTTTTATTTAAAATATTTCAGTATTTAAAAAAATCTGTTTCCACAGAGCTTTGGGAGGGAAATTACTCACAGTGACAGAAGATTCAGAAAGTTTCCTCAAAGTAGAGTAGTTTTTCTTCATAATAAAATTACTCAACTAACAGTAAAAAAAACAGCACAGTAAAAAAAAATACTTCTGAAAGTACATTTTTTTAACAAAATTACTCGAGTAAATGTAACTAGTTACCTCCCAACTCTAGTTGCTTCTCAACAGTTATTGATTAAATACTAAATTAAGGTAGAATTTGTCTAAGTTTTTCAGTCTGAGGTTGTTCTCTTCCCATGGACCAGGAGGTGCTGGTTCAGTAGACACAGACTTCCTGCTGCTGTCAGGATTCCTCATCAGGAATGTAGATTGTCATGCAGAAACCATCTCTGCAGGCTGGATGCACTTCAGACGCTGTGGGTTGGATCTCTGGGGCGATGTTTGTGCTCTAATGAAAGCAAAGATCCTCCCTGTAAAAATACACACACACATATCCCAGAAATTTTATGAAAGAAATTACAGATGGTCGCCTTGAGCTGGTCCAACATAACTGGATTTAAGTAGAACTGCATGTCCTCGGGAAGAGAACGCCTTCATGAGGATTAATAGTGTCATGCAAGAGGAGCAGCTTGCTCTTTGTATCCGCCCGTTACAGGACCGGGGGATCCAGGGTCACCAGGACCGAATGCCTTCTGGAATGCAGAGAAGCACTTCCTGCTCCTCAGTGTTCTTGTGTGCACTGCAATTTATCTGTTTGACTTCTCCCTTCGGCATAAAAACGTTGGAGAGGACAAACACGCAACTCATCTTGCAGGCAGACCACCCCAGAAAATGCAGGATGGAGCCAAGTTTGAATCTCAAGATGGTTAAATGTGTTAATAACATGAAACTCTGAAAATCAGTGAGGGAAGTTGGTCAACTATATTCAGGTGGTTGGGTTATTTAAATACTTTTTGTTTCAATATGCTGTTGAGAATCAGAGAAGTTGTCTCATAGCAAATTGGACCCCAAATTCTCCGACTTGAGTGGACTCATTTATTAAACTTGGGTAATTTAATTGGAACAAAATTTAATTTCTCTAGTCTGCTGACTCAATGGGGCTACAGTCAAAAACTTTAAATTTGTGCATAAAAGAATACATAAGAGGATGAATCTTTTTCTGACTTTTTTGATAAGTAAAACCCTAAAAGTGTTTTGTCCATTTGTATTTAACCTCTCTGAGTCGACACTTACTAGTTGGGTTTGCTGCACCTTCGTTGTCAACCTCAGTGAGGTTGAACAAATTTGAACAGAAATACAACAGATTCTTGATTTCGGGGGCTGGGGGGTTTAGGTCTGGACTTTGACTAGGCCATTCTGATAGATGGATCTGATCTGATCTAAACCATTCCAGCAGGTCATAGTACTGCTCTAACAGGTTTTCTTTCAGCATTTTCCTCCATAATTTCCTGATTTTATTTTATATATATATATATATATATACACAAAATCTCATTAAAGTCTTTAAACTGATTTTTTTTTTTTTTAAATAACCATAGTTATAAACACTTTTGAAGAAACTGTTTAAGATGTGTTTATGTTATACTGAAACACTTTTATGTGTCCAGGAGGGTCACTCAGGCCAGCTGCTGGTCCTGGGAGCCACAAACCGGCCCCAGGCCCTCGACCCTGCCCTGCGCAGGCCGGGACGCTTTGACAAGGAGTTAGAGGTCCGTACAAGCTTTTAACTCGTGACTAAAGTCATGGCTGCTGCTGCTGAAATTCAGCAGTTCAGTTTTTCCAAAATGTCTCTCCCTGGAAGTCTCCAGCTCTCCGTTCTTACCTGTGATCCCGGCCGTCTTCTGTTCAGGTGGGAGTTCCTGGCAGTGCAGAGCGGGCTGACATTCTGCAGAAGCAGCTGAGTCCGGTGCCGTGCAGTGCCATCGCAGCGCAGCTGACGCAGCTGGCGGACGCCGCTCACGGATACGTCGGAGCCGATCTCGCCGCTGTTTGCAAAGAAGCAGGCAAGTAAAAATCAGAGTGCTTCTACTTCCTCACTGTTGGACCAGGAATGGATTTCAAACCGGTTTTCTTGGTGAGAGTGGGTGTCCCCTGTTTGTGGAGTCACAAACAGAATGTTTTATGAAATTTTAAATCAGGGTCGAAGGAGATCGGCGGTAATAACGAAACCAAACGCTGTTTCTGCTAGAATTAAATGTGCTCGATTTATTTCCCCACAGATTACAGTACAAAACACTCTATGACTAAACACGTGATGCTCGATTCATTCAAGTTACCAGCGCTTACCTCGTGAAACTTGGCCGGAGAGCCTTCGGCCTAGAGATAAGCAGTAGCATCAACGTAGCTGGGCATTCGGACGCGATCCACAGCAGACTCTGACCAAAACCGCGGGCTTTTTCGTATTTTATCTCTTAAACAAAGGGACGCCTGCGTGCAAAGGCGTAATGGCCATTTCCATCCTTGCAGGCGAGCCTTCCAATCAGAGGTAGCCGCTCTCCGACCATGAGCCAATCATGGGCTGAGAGCGTGAACCAGCAGACCAAGCAGAGCCCAACCCAAGTCAACCAGAGCCAAGCACGCCCTATTCACGTGATCTGCATGAGCATGCAGCATGTTCAATTTGCATAATACATTGCAGCAAAATAATCTGAGCAGAATAAAAAGATAATAAAAAGAATAATGATTATCAAAGAACATAAAAGATAAAAATACAAAATACCAGATCACAGAAACCTAAGTAAAACGATGGCTGTTAATCTTGATCTTTTTAAAGGAAAGGTGGCATATTGTTAAAAATCCAAGAAAGTAGTTCCCTTTAGATTTTTATTTTTCAGTTCCTGATTCTGGTAAATTAGCAAAACTAAAACAAATTTAAAAGGCCACTCAAATGAATTATATTTATGTTCTTCATTTTACCTTTCATTCCTCCTTTTCATGCTTTATTATCTTGCCTCCTTTCTATTTCTTATTTTGATCCTTATTTTCTTTGTTTCTTCCTTTCTTACTCTCTCTCTACTGAAATTTCTTTCCCCTTTCCTTCCTCCCTCTCTCATTTTATTTCTTTCTTATTTTTTGTAGTGTCTGTATCTTTACAGTAAGCTCAATGTGAACTTTTGTGTTTATGCAATAAAAAATTATCTCTGCTCATTTAAAAATCTAAAATATTAGTTTCTGATCATCATATCAGGAACTTTGTACAACAGAATAACACAAAAATCTACAAAAAAGAAAAAAAAAGAAAGAAAAGCAGTAAACCCAATTTGAAGCCCTGTGGAACGCCAAAATTGATTGGGGCCACAAAAGGAAAACTACCTTCATGAAAACTTCTGAAATTTGACAAAAAAAGTCTAAAATAATAAAAGAAATAATAATTTTGATCTCTGTCTGTAGTTTAACTGAGCAGGGCCAAAATTATATATTTTTTTAAACTGGAACAAAGTCAGATAACAGACGCTTTCTATTAGACGTGTCTTTGTTTACGCTCCTCATCTAACTCCCAGATTTGCTGCCCTGCTGTTTGGAACTGGTTTTCCTCGATGGTTCAGGCGACTAGCCAGCAAATTAGTACGAAAAAAACTGTCAGTTTATGAGTTTTCACTTCATCTTTTCTTATTGCCCTGATCTCACTCCTTCTTGAAGAAATTTGCCCAAACCTCAATTAGTTTTGAATTATATATTTCCTATTTGGTTTTTAATGGTTTGATGACATGTTTTCTTGGCGTTCGTTTTCCCGCCTGAAGCCTTTTTGAGCACCAGGCTTAGCCAACATTTGATTGTTTCTTATTTCATATAGAGGAAGTTGGGACTTTGTGTGGTATTGTGCTCCCAGTTAGAGAAACCACTGAAACCACTAGTTATTGTGAAATTCCTGTGCCCCCTCAGTCCTACTGCCACAGAGTACCCCGCCTCACATCCCCAGGATGAGTGTAGTGGCCTGGGCTCGGTTGTGCGACTGCATGCTTATTTGTTTTTCTGTGGATGTGTCTGTGTGTGACCCCATATTGCCTCTTGGGTGGTCCCGCCGCCTTCGGTCGTGGCGTATTGCCTTTCCAGCCGGGGAGGGAGCTGGGACTGCTGCTCGGAAGCACTCCGGCTGAGAGCGTGATTTACTATCCGCAGAGGGCCAGACGTGACTGGCAGTGTTTTCTGCAGAAACCTTTTCATCTCCCGGGGGAAACAACAAACTCCCCAACCCAATCCGCTCGCTTCCTCCCAACGCATCCAAACCAAAATCACTTAGAGAAACACAGAGCCCTTCAGGAATCATCTACAAGTCAGAAAGTGCTTTCTGCTTTCTGTCAGCTCGAAGAAATAAAATTCCAGCTGGATAACGTTTGCAACTAATTTATTTTGCAGATGAAACTGAATCAAGATGGTCAGGTGTTTGCAAAGAGGTACAGATGTCGCAACGGCCTGATGCTTAAGGCAGTGGTACTTTAGGGAACCATTCACGTTTCTGTCTGTGCCATGTTGAAAAGTGCCAATTATGGAAACTTAATGAACTCCATCATGTGCTGATAAGTCTGTGATCCATCTATGAAGACTGGGGCTGAAACAATTAATCGGGTTAATCAAGATTAATTGATGATTTAAATAATTTTCAAGTAATTAAGTCATTGATTAATCATTAACTGAAGTATACAGACTAAAAAAAAAAAGACAATTTACTAAAAGAACGCCGAAGCCAGAGCCAAAGCTGCACAAAAAAGAGATTCAAGCTCTGTCACTTAAAACATATGCTTTACTATTTGCAGTTATTATATTTTGTACTAGTTAAGATGCAAACATAGCAAGTCTTGCACAAAAAATGACTGGGATAACCCAGAAAAAAATATTTTGGGGTTTGTAGTCAAATCATATAAATAATGTACTATTTGCTGCTCTGCTTTATGTCACTTAACTCAGTCCTACAGCTGGTTGTGTAATCTGTTTACTCGTATCACTAGCCTGCAGTCAGCTGCTCGCAGTCATTTTCTCATAGTGGTGGTCTTAATAAATGTGTTGGCTGGTTGCTAAGTAAATGAAAATGTTTCAAATCACCCGAGTTTATCTTTTTGTATGGAAGAGGGAAATATAGTAGCTTTTTTTCTTCCAATTGACTGACAGTTTAGGGCAACTAGTGTGGGAGGGGCAGCGCTGGACTACTCTGTGCGCCATACACACTGAAATCTGTGGTCACATTGTTCTTAGGGGGTTCGTCTTTGTGCATATTTAGGATTGTCCTGTTAAAAACCATTTCATGTGTGAAGATTAAAAGTAAATTTATCAAGTTTCCATCGTAAGCATGGATTCCTTGTCGGTGCATCAGTTTGCACACATGGTGCCAGTTCATGCTTTCTCTGGCAAAAACAAAAGCCAGAGTCTGAAAAACAAGCAGTTGTTTCCTTCTGCTGCTCAGGTAACAATGAGCTGCGGGGGGAAGCATTCGGTGCGACGCAGCGCTTCCTGAAAAATAAGAACGAGGGGACATATCACGGCGACTCCGACATGCTCGGGTCACGCAGAAGATTCTTACATCGCACAGCTGCAGAGGCGCCCTCCCATACACACACCCGTTGCTCTATATTTAATGTATACTAGACACACATTTGAGTTTAGGTTTCACATCCTGCTTTTGAGACAATACCAGCCTGCTTTGAGATCAGAGAGTAAGAACCTTCAGTTCAGCTGCTCCAATCTGAGGAAAGTCAAAGGGAAGGATGGCAAGGCCAAGTGATTGTATGTTTTTTCTCTGTGTGTGCGTGTTTTTGTGTGTGTGTGCACAAGAGTGGATGGAAATCTTGATGTCATCAGGGAAGTTTTTGTTTGTCCACTCAGAGCCCCAGGAACAACGTCTTGACGACAGATGTGTTATATAACCAATCCTGAACTGTAGCGGATCTCAGATCGACGAGTCCGGAATGCATCGTCAGACATCAGGCAACTCTGTTCCACCAAAGTCACCTAAAATCCCTTTGAAGCCTCCGCTGGGGGAGCAATTTGTTTGGAAAATCAGTGCTTTTACTTTTCTGCATTAACTGAGGGAATTCAGGTCGGATTCTTTGATCCCTGAATGGCAGAAATCATTTTTAAACCAGAAAAAATAAATAAATAAATAAATAAACAAAAATGCAGCAAAAGAGGTAACCACCACTCTTGGATTCAGGATTATGAAGCCAAGTTTAAGAGTGTAGTGGTATGAACTGCAGGTGTAACCAGCGCATAGAGACATAACCAGGACAGAAGTTACAACTGTAAGTTTCCTGCTGTTTAACCTGCTATTTAAGTTCTGCACACAGAACTTCAGAAGGTTCATATCTTATGATCAGGAAAATTATCTGCCATTGAGATCCATATTGGAAAGGGTTTATGATTTTTTTCCATGTTCCTGTTAGTAGTGTGTTTGTTTCATACACAAATACATGCAGTTTGTGTATTTTCCTAGATTATCCTTCTCAGATGCACACTCCTGATAACCTGAGTATTGAATAACAGTACAGTACTTTTTCTTATTTTGTACATTTGCAATGATTTCTTATTTCTTTTCTTTTATCAGAACTAGGTTGCTTCCCACGTCAGTTCTCCTATTTGCTCTAAATGAGGACCTCCAGTGGCCAGATGCTTTAATACAACCCCCCTTTTTTTTTTTTTTTTTTACATAGTTTCATGATTTTGTTTCCAGTCCTAATAGATTTAGGTGAATATGTCTGCATTTAAATATAAATTTATTAAATCCTATCAACTGGTAGTGTTGAGTGAACAAACACATTCCTTTCATAATGTTCTCTCTGGATCTGTGTCTGAAGGAGGAAGGTGGTTTTCATCATAGTTTCATGCAGGCTGACATATTTATGTACACATTCAGACGTCGTTCTGCACTGTGTTAGTCACAGCACAAAAATCCAACGAGAGCATGGCAGTAACTATTTATAAAAGTATCTCTGGCAGCGTGCATGTGGTATCTGATGTAGCACATTGACATTTCTTGTGGCTGATGTCTGACGTGTGTCATTACGCACACTCTTATGGATCAGGCTGACAGAGATGGAGCTATTTTTGAAATCCTTTATTTTACTTCTTATTGGTTGAAAGTTTTAACTCAATTGCTTCATGTTGGAGTTTGTGATGAGTAATGGATGTATAGAAGACATGCATTTTGGTGTAAATTCCCTGCAGACTAAGAGTCAGTTCTTGAAAATTGAGTTTATAATAACTTGGAGTTATTATAAAAATGCTATATATATATATATATATATATATATATATATATATATATATATATATATATATATAAAACATAAAAGAAACCTGACTTCATAATTTAATGTCTTGAAAAAACAACATTTTTACCATTGTTGCACTGGTAGCTTGCATAATGAGCTCAGCAGAAGAGCACTTCCACCAGGTGTTTGCTAATTGGTGCTGACTAGTCTGAAGGAGTTGAGTGGGGCAGTCACAGTGGAGGGCTGCTTTGTGAGGTGGAAGCTTTGAAACTAGAGCTCCAAGGAGGAGCTGCGCCTCAAAGGCGGGGCTCGGTCCACTCAGGCGTTTTGCACAGCTGAGTGATTAAAACATGCATGAAAGAATCAAAGCAGCGCTCTTTGATTAGGTAATAACTTTATAACATGATGTAAAGCACAAAAAAGTCGATTTTAAATAATACTGGCCTTTAAATGCTCTTAAAAATCATGAAAGATTTACAGTTTTGAGGGGATGTACTTTTTTTTTTTTGCCATAAATGGCCTAATCATGAAGCCCTAGGAAAATAAAACCTTGTCCTCAGTTTATTGCTAAACTGCATCTTCTTTAAATAAAGGATGAAGTTGAGCATGAAGATTTAGAAAACAATAGCCAACACTTTGTGTCATATTGACAACATTTCACAAATATCTGGGCCAGATGCTAAATCAGAAATGAACACAGAAACTGATTTCCAGCCCTGTCTTGCTTCCTGATCACTTCTCTGACCGTGATCCCAACCCGCCAGAACCTTACACTGAGCAGCATTTGGTAACGGATTCCTTTAGGTGTTCTTGGAAGCTCTCATGTGGTGTCACAGACTCTGGAGTCTCTCTGGCGTCTCTCTGGAACACAACTGATCTGGCTGCTTGTAGATGACTCATTTCCACAGTCTAAACGGTGCAGATTTTCTGTAGCATGTATGTTGGGGTGCGTTTGGGTTTGACCACATCCGGGCGCAGTGTTTACAAACCTCTCTAAACAGGGGAAGCCCGTTGCATCTAAACAGGGCCAGTAAAATGTATTCTATGAAAGGATAAACTCAGAGTTTTGAGTTGTGCCCACAGAAAGCCCTTTGATTAAATAATGCCTGTGATTTAGATGGTGATTGTGCAGAAAAAAAAATATGACTAGAAATCTTACTAAAGTCTCCATAAAGCCAAACCTGGAGGGGTTCAGAGTTTTTACCTAAAACCATTAATCATCCAGGCCAGCAGGCGCAGGAAACGAGGAGTAGAGATTACTCCTCTGTGTCGAAACGAGGGAGAAAAACGGCAGCTGAAATGAGCGCAGTTTTGTGTGTTTGACATAAATTCTCCAGTGGAAGACTAAATGAGCCAAACAGTGCTAAATGCTTGCTGATGTTTACAGCAGCAGGCTTGCCTTATAAAGGACTTTTTCCATCTCGTTTGTCCTTTTAAAGACTCTGCAGGAATTTCAGGACAGGCCACATAAATATCAGTCGGATCAGCATGTGAAGTTTATTTGAGGCGTCTGTTTATAAAACCCGGAAATGTGCTGCTTGTACTTCTTAACCCCTGCACTTACCTTCTACCAAGGCACATCTGTATGTGTGTGTGTGTGTGTGTGTGTGTGTGTGTTTGTGTGTTTCTGAGGTTATCGGTGTGTAATGCACATTTTATGCTTGTGTTTTAGAGTGTATTTGTTTGTGGGAGTGAATTTGAAGAGCTCGTATTATTGGCGTGCTTCAGCCCCGAGAACAGATGTTGGGTATTTTAAATACAGGTGCAGAGAAGGCTCCGGAAACTGAGTAATGAAAACGGTCCTGCGGTTTTGTAATAGTGTAATGCCCGAAGTATTTCCACAATTCATTAGAGGGAAGAGTCACTCAGGAACTACAGCTCCGGCCTGATCGTCGCTCATTGTAATGTGTGTTCTGCCTTAAGTGCAGAAATATTATTTACTTTTCTACTGAAACCTAAAACTGCTTTAAATCTTCCTGTCTCTGCTCATAAATGTAGTTTAGATAATGATGCTGAAATGACCTCAGAAGGGAGTTGTAGCATGGGCAGATGACACAAACGGACTTAAAGGTATTCATACCTCTGATGCTTTTCACATTTTACAACCACAGACTTTATATTTCATGGAATTTATTTATATTTTATGTGACCCTAGGGCTGGACGATACTGCTGAAAAACATATCACAATATATGCGTTTCAGATCAGTCGACATCAATAGATATTGATTAGTTTTTTTTTTTTTTTTTTTTTTTTTTTTTTGGAAAAATTACCAAACTGGTAATATTATTTTTTTTTTTTTTTTTTTTTTTTTTTTTTTAATGCAGTTATAAGACACGGTGGGAAAACTGCTGCTATTCCAGTTACTTAACAGGTTATTGCAAGGGAACCAAAGAGTGAGTCAGTTGCTTATTAACAAATTCATTGAAATTATTGGTGGATAATCTATTGATATTGATCACATGTCTGTCACAATGACAGAACAACACACTGAATCACTTATCGTGCCTATAGAAAGTATTCGCCCCTTCCACCCTTTTATTGTTTTTACAAATTAATCATGATCAAGAAAATTTTCCTCTTTTGACAAAATGAAATGTAAAAAAGCCTTTAATGTGAAAATGAAAAGTGATTTTATGAAATGATAATTAAGCATAACATAAAACTAGTGATACATATTCACCCCTTTATAGTGATCTGTGCTTCCAAACATTGCAGAGTAGTGGGACTAGAGTCACTGGTAAGAATTTAACAATTTTATTAAAGGATTTTTACATTCATATTTTATTTGACCACTCATGAAGGTGTTGATCTGGTCAACGTAATATGAAAAAGTTTATAAACTAAAAAAACTCTCATCCTCAGGATCCAAGTCTGAGGAGGTAGCTTATGGGCTTTTCATTAATAGTCACAGCACCACCTAGTGGTAGCAGGAAGCAGGAAGTCTTGTTGATGAGATCATTCAGTCCAAATAAAATTTATAGGATTTGGTTTGAGTACAGGAGGATGTGACCCCCCCAGCCCCCAACCCAACTCCCAAAGGAGAGGATGTAGATTTTTGGGGGAAGATCTGTTTTTGATGCGCATAATTAAGAACATTTCTGTTACATAAAAACACAAATAATAATCTGTTTTCCCTTAGCCAAGCAAACTCTGTGAACTCTTCCTTCTCATTCTTATAATTTGAGCCTTTGCTGATGTTTTGCAAATGTGCATTCTTGTTCATCTAGGAGGCTCCTTTTCCTTTCATTTCCCACTTGATTACTGCTGAATTTGAAGGATTCCGGAAAGTAAGAGCGCAAGAAAAAGTAAATGGGAACACGAGTCCACATAAGGTTTAGATTAAACTGTGTTGTGTTGCCTCTCTTTGTTTTTTCCTCCTCCCTTCCCATCGGATGTTTTCATAGCAAAACCAAATGTGTGCGTGGAGTCAGCCAAGAGCAGTTCGGAGGCAGTGAATCCCTAAAGCAAAATATTAAAGTTACATCGTTGAATCGGGTTTCCGCCTTCCTCCAGGCTGTCGGGCTAGAACCATGTTTCTCTTTAAGATGGGTCATTTCCCAGCGTTTTCTGTAGAGATTATCTTTGTAAGAGAATTGCTCAACATTTGTCAGTTGTGGTTTCATGTTATGGGGCAGCAATGACATTACTGCTTAAATTAGGAGTCTGAAATATTGGATAATAAAAACAAAGATATCTCTGGTCAGTTTGTAAGACTCAGAATTTATAGACAACAAACTTAACATGCACATCCATCTATTTTTTTTACTCTTTTGCTTATTCAAAGTTTGGTAAGCCAAAGTTCCTAAGGTGCTTCCAGACGGGATTTATAGTCCCTCAGGGTCTCCTTCCTGAAAACCTCCAAAAAGAGTCACTCAGAAAGCAGCCTATCGCCTCAATTATGCTCAGTTTTTCTTAGCAGGGGAAGGTCATCATCTGACTCAGACCAGCCACACTATGGATGAAACTCAAGTTTTAAAAAGTCTTAAATCCATTTAAGACATTTAAGGCCTAAAGGTATGCGACGACAAATTTAAGTAGAGTCTTAAATTTGTCGTCGCATGACTATTTAATCTTTAAATATTCTGTGTAGTATTTTTTATTTTTTTAAATCACAGGACTTTACTGACTTGCAAAGGTTTGAGTCACACATAGATGTCTTCATTGCATTCTGTGATTACCGCTAACTAGCTGCTAATATACCCTTACTAACAAGCTAACTTTTTTACGTTCCACGTGCAAACTTATCACTAGTTACTGGACAATGTTCGTATTAGCTACTGATTTGCTTCTGTTGCCAACCTAAACAAGGTTAGGTCAGCATGTGAAAACCTGCTGCCATCAACCACAAATGGACACCAGAAGTTTCAATGCAGCTGCTATGTTTGATTTTAATACATTAGGACCCCACAACCATCTCCAATATAGCTTTTTTGGTCTTTAAGTTAATCCAAGGTGACATTAAAAAAGTCTTAAAATGTGCTTTCTTCTATATTTTACTCTGCTTCGCCTCGTCCGTGCCACTCAGACCAGATATCTCTCTTTTGCAACATTTACAGTTTCCGAATGGAGCTAAACAATTTAAGAACACAAAACATATTGAGCTGATATGCAGAGAAGGAACTGTAAGCAGAGATATGACAGAGAATCGGGACTCTGTATGCTTACAGAAAGCAAACCTGCTGCAATAATTGTGCTCCTCTGTCTTTTCTTCCTCTCCCTCTCGCTTAGTCAGACAGGCTCTGGAAAACATAAACAGGATGCAGTCTTGTCTGATCATAAATCCCCTCTCGTCTGCTGCCTGGCCCCCGGTCCTGGACCACGTCCGTTCCCCACCAGCCCTCAACCCTCTGTCTCCCGCAAAGACCCCCACCCGACTTCGCTCCCTTTGCACATTTGCGTGAGCTCTAGGTTCTGACAAATTGTCACCCAGCTTATTGGAGTATATAACACACACTGTGCAGATAGCTGCTGTGTGCAGTGTTGTGACACATGTCAGAAAAAATCCTTCTCAATAAAATCATTGTGGGCAAACTAATGATCTCTACTAAAGTCCAGCTTGAGGGAAAAGCAGGAATGGTAATTTTTGCAGAGAATGTGCCTGAGACCAAGGCCCTTAATCAATCCTCATTTCCTTTCTGACATGGATAACAACTGTGGCTGGTGAAACAGAATGCTTCCTTACTTACTGTGGAAAAGATTTTTTTAAACAAGAGGAAAATCAGAGCATTTTTTTTTACTGACAAATTGAAATCTTTCTAAAATTAAATGTTTGGTACAAGAACAATATTCATCTTTTAGTAAACATGCTTTTTGCTTTCTATTTATCGTAAATAGGATCACAACTATCCAGGGCCTTTCACTCAGAATCAACCAAATCTGCATTTACCTGGTCTTTTAAACTTTTGTAAATATAGCAAACATTTTGACAGAAAGAGTGACCCAAGTCTTACTTTTTATTTTTAAGCCAAGAAATTAAAAATCAGACAAACGTTTGGATAACCTTGGTTTGATGATCAGCCTAAAATTTTAAGAGGCACACAAAAGTTATGGTCTGCTTTTTAGGAAACTTTTCTCCCCTTTAGTTTCTTTAAGCAATAACAACATTTATCACTGGCCAGTAATGTGCCACAACAAGTGAGGAAGCGCTGACCAACTCTGCTCCAAACAGATGGATAAAACTCTAGTAACACTGTGGCCTTCTCTCATCTCAGCAGGCATAGGGACAGTATGACGGAGAATTTTTGCTTTTAAACTAACTTATTAAAACATTTGTATAACATGTTAGCAGCCCATGTTTAGGCTCTAAACCTCAACAACTGGAGTTGTCTGACCGTAATTCTGTTTTTGTGTGTGTCAGTCTATTTAACGTCAACTAATTTAACATCAACATTGTTTAATCATAAATAAATTAAGCTGTGAAAAAGCAATGAGTACCTTTAGTTAGAGCTTCATTTTTTCAATCTGCTCTCCTCAGGTCTGCGTGCACTGAGGCGAGCTCTGGGTGTTTCCCAGCAGGCATCTGACCAGCAGCTGATGGGGACGGTGACGGTCTCCATGCAGGACCTCCAATGGGCCATGACTGTTGTGAAGCCCAGTGCAATGAGAGAGGTTGCTATCGACGTGCCCAAGGTACAGAAACCTCCCCTGTCTGTCTGTCTGTCTGTCTGTCTGTCTGTCTGTCAACTCAACCATTATAACTGGGCAATAAATAGATTTTATTGATTGAATATTTAGGTTTTTCATGATTTAGTTTTTCATAAATCTGGATTTTTTTTCAACAATGCACTGCTTGAGTTTCCATAGATCAGAGTAATGTCAGCAGGCTCAGGGCCGCCATCTTGTTTGACAGGCATGTATTACAGCTTCTATTTATGTGGACTTTAAAATCACCTCCATTCTAAGATGGCGTATTAGGAGCAGGCTAAGATTTTTCATTTTTTTTTATTACGTCAGTAAGGTCATAATATTATAACAATTACATCATATTAGAAGAATGAAGCAGTACTTTTATGAGAACTCCAACACAAAAAATTAAAATGAGTCATGTAGAGCATCTTGTGAAGTTATGCTTTTACAAATAAGGAAATCCTTAATCTTTGAAGACATGAGGGTTTAACATGTGAGATGCTTGTACACTGATGCAGCGGATGCAGTAGCCTCTTCCCGCTCCTACTTGGTTTAAATCTTCAGTCTTAATAACACAATTCGTCCTGGAGGCTACTTTTTCTAGCGTTACATTCAGCCTCGTGGTGGTTTTGGAAGGAAGCGGGCCAGCTTACATCATGCATTTTTTGGCTCAATGAAAGCACAATCTAAATCCCGAAAAAGGTAATCACTTATCACCACTTTTAAAAGTAGCTCATCAAGCAGTGCCTCTCTTCCCAGACTGTCTTACTCCTCTTTACTCTGCTGACCACTGAATCACCACGAGGTAGAGTGGAAAAGACCCTGTGGCCATTTTACCCTCTGCTGCAATGAAGATGAACGACTTTGTCTTCGCAGATGGAGGAAAAGTGGGCTCAAAAAACATGGGAGGTTAGTGAGGAGGAAGGAGGGGTGAGAGGACAGCGGTGAGACTTCAGGATGTTTTGGAGTTTTGCATGTGCAAGACATAAGGGACAGGAAGAAGGCTAACATCATCTTCCACCGGTAATTGAAAGCAGATCTGGTCGCTGACGGTTCCTGCCAGCAGCTAAAAAAAGAGAAAGAGAAGAAGAAACATGCGTCCGATCCCTTCACCTCAGCCCGCCTCCCCTTTTCTTTCTGCACAGAGTGCTGCGCTCTGAGCTCACCCAGAGACATTCAGTCCTTGTGGCTGGTTCCTGGAAACAAGAGAGGAACGAGTTTGGATTTCTTTTTCTTTTTTTGTAATTTGTCTTACACAGTTCAGCTGAAAGACCAGCCGCAGAGCCCCGGACTTGATTATATCCACATGAGTGCAAACATTTGTTTCTAATCCACTTTTATATAAGAAACTTCCAGTGGTGCCGGATGAATGCATGCCCAGAGTTTCTGTGAAACCATCTCGGATCACATATCCACACAAGATTTAAAGATTATACCTCACTTTAGATTCTATTTGTATGTAAATATAATAAATTAAGGGGTAATTAGGGTTATTTCTTTCTAAAGACTTTCCCTTTTATTTTAACATCCATTTTAAGCTTTGACCTTGCCATCTGGTTTAACTTTATTATATCCGTCTTTTATTATTTCCATGCCCTTTATCTCCCTGTTTCTTTGTTTAGTTTGTTTGGTAAGTCCCTGACTCTGTCCTCTTTTCCCCTTCAAAGGCCTCTTGTAAAGTTTGGAAAACAACTGTAAAAGGTAATAACTATGTCTGGTGCAAAAAGGAAAACAGCACAGTGGGGTTTGAGTCAAAGCATTTGCTTTTAATTTTAACACGCTTTAGTTATAACATTAACTGATTCAACTTTTTGTTATTTTCTCATACGCCTAGACTTTTTTCACATTTCATCACATTACAATTGAAAACGTCAATGTAATTTACTTACTTCAGTGGTGGGCACTGCTAACTAAAATGTTAGCTGCACTAACCCTAAAACACTATTCGTATTAGCTGTGCTAAAGCACTACACCAACATGGCATTTAGTGGAAGCTAACGGAATTTACCTGGAGAACATAGAAAGATTTTAAAGATATCAAACATGTTAAATCTACCTATATGTCTGAAGTTGTTGAACGGAAAATGAAAAAAAATACATAAATATTGAATTTTTATTACATTAACGGTAAAAAGTGTATAGTCAATACAAAGGGGCCTCAAGGATTAAATGCTCAACATTAACATGACATTTGTGATGAGTGGCAAATTTTAACTTTCTCTACCTTTTACACCAGTGGTTCTTAACCGTTTTTGAGGTACAGAACCCCCCAGTTTCATATGCGCATTCAACCCCCCCCCCCCCACACACACACACACACACCACAACACAGAAAATAATTTGCGGTATTCTGATTTATTAATGCAATTATATTAGTTGTATTACCTCCCCCACGCCACTAGAGGCAGAACCAACCCCGAAAAGATGTGACTAAGGAGCAGATTTAGACTATAGAATTTGGTAAAAACGGTGACACAAGTTCAAATCCATGCTGAGAGTGGAACTCCTTCCCGCAGCGCTGATTGGCTAAGCAATGTAACGTGATCCTCTGGAGGAAGTGATGGCAAAACGGGGCGTCATCACGACTTTACACAGTGTGTCTTTACCTCCGCGGCAGAGGCTCCACCGAACCCCTGAGACCGACTCATTGAACCCCTGGGGTTCGATCGAACCCAGGTTAAGAACCACTGTTTTAGACTTTAGATTTTTGCAAGGTTTTGATTGTTATCAAGCAAATTATTTCCACGGTTTCAACTCAAGTTGTTGATTAATATTCTCTAGAAGGAGGACATTCATCAGAAACTTGTTTGCAACCATAAAATCCAAAGTTTACTTCAACCAACAATTGCTGAAAACCAAAGAAACATTTTGGATGTTTTTAAGGCACTAGAAAGTGGATCTTTACAACCCGGCCAACACTAAGCAAATTGAAGCAGCTGCTGACAGGTTCAAATGCTCCACAAGAACTAAGCAAATGACCCTTGAAGGGAAATTATTTTCATAGTGGTTACATTCAAATTGTTTGAAATGGTTTTTACTTTTCACAAGAAAATATCTTTAGGCTGACTTTTGGCAACCTTTAGGCTTCTGTATCAGCCTTCATTTCTACATTCATTTATTTATTTTTTTCTCTTTTTTGCCATTTGTCCAAATACACCTACAATTTTGTTTAAGGGGAAACTCCAAAATATGCAATTTTTTCCAAAGATAAACAGGAAAGTAAAATATTTTGGATTTGGTTGTTAGAGCATTTCCTCTGTCAAACATTATCAACAACATTGATTTTGATGCTTTATTTTTATTTTGTTGAGCAATTAAAACAAGTTAAACTTTTTACCTCAAGATTCCAAAATAGCCCTTTTTATAGGTTCTGGTTCTTCTTTGGGACCAACCACATTGTTTTTGTTGCCAGCAACAAGCTTATTTAACTTTATTTAAGTTAGTTGGTTTTGCGTCTCAAATTCAACTTAATTCATGCCAAAGTTAGGTTTTTAAACCTAAGAGCAGTGCACCAACTATCAAGCACGGTGGTGGCTGCATTACACTGAGGTTTTGTTTAACTGGCACTGGCATATTGCATATGTTGTGTAATGAAAAAAGTTGGGTGACTCCAGATTTTTCAAATGTACTCAAGTCAACAGTATGAGGATGAAAAAGAGAAGAAAATAGGTTTATTCTGTAACTGATATCGTCGTCACTATATTTTCGCAA